TTTATTATTTAAATAAAAATTTATTGATGAAAAACTGCCTGATCAAGATTATTCAAACTGCTGATATGACTTTTCTCGTGTCACTTGAAGAACCCCATGCATTGTTGTACACGAGTTGTCTTTCTTGGGACTCGCTAAACATTTATGAAATGATCAGCTTAGAAATTCAACACTCCATCCTTTTAAGTTATATTGCTCAATTCAGCAACCTTGTTAATCAGACATCTTGATTACTCAACTTCCAAAACAGTGCTATCCCATATTGAAAAATTATTTCTGAATTATTTCATTGTACATTTCTATTTTTGTGGAAGTAACAAGTTTCTAGAAAAAAAATGTGTTGAAACATATAGTATAACAGTGAATTTTGGGGTGTCATAGTCTTAGAAGTGCCAGACCAAAAGAGTCATACCAGTGGGTTGAATGCATTTGATTCTGGAGTTTATGGTAATTAACATATAAGAACTGAAACAGCAGTAATTGTTACTTGAAGGTTCTTGTGAAAATCTTCTTAAGAACTGTTACAGCAGTATAGTTACTTGAAGGTTCTTGTGAAAATCTTCTTAAGAACTGTTACAGCAGTATAGTTACTTGAAGGTTCTTGTGAAAATCTTCTTAAGAACTGTTACAACAGTATAGTTACTTGAAGGTTCTTGTGAAAATCTTCTGAAGAACTGTTACAACAGTATAGTTACTGGAAGGTTCTTGTGAAAATCTTCTTAAGAACTGTTACAACAGTATAGTTACTTGAAGGTTCTTCTGAAAATCTTCTGAAGAACTGTTACAACAGTATAGTTTCTGGAAGGTTCTTGTGAAAATCTTTGCAAGGACTGTTACAACAGTATAGTTACTTGAAGGTACTTGAGAAAATCTTCTGAAGAACAGTTACTGTTACAACAGTATAGTTACTTGAAGGTTCTTGTGACAATCTTCTTAAGAACTGTTACAACACCATAGTTACTGGAAGGTTCTTGTGAAAATCTTCTAAAGAACTGTTACAACAGTATAGTTACTTGAAGGTTCTTGTGAAAATCTTCTTAAAAACTGTTACAACAGTATAGTTACTTGAAGGTTCTTGTGAAAATCTTCTGAAGAACTGTTACAACAGTAAAGTTACTTGAAGGTTCTTGTGAAAATCTTCTTAAGAACTGTTACAGCAGTATAGTTACTTGAAGGTTCTTGTGAAAATCTTCTTAAGAAATGTTACAGCAGTATAGTTACTTGAAGGTTCTTGTGAAAATCTTCTTAAGAACTGTATTACTGTGTTACAGCAGTATAGTTACTGGAAGGTTCTTGTGAAAATCTTCTTAAGAACTGTTACAACAGTATAGTTACTTGAAGGATCTTGTGAAAATCTTCTGAAGAACTGTTACAACAGTATAGTTACTGGAAGGTTCTTGTGAAAATCTTCTCAAGGACTGTTACAACAGTATAGTTACTTGAAGGTTCTTGTGAAAATCTTCTGAAGAACAGTTACTGTTACAACAGTATAGTTACTGGAAGGTTCTTGTGAAAATCTTCTTAAGAACTGTTACAACAGTATAGTTACTTGAAGGTTCTTGTGAAAATCTTCTGAAGAACTGTTACAACAGTATAGTTACTTGAAGGTTCTTGTGAAAATCTTAAGAACTGTTACAACAGTATAATTACTTGAAGGTTTTTGTGAAAATCTTCTTAAGAACTGTTACAACAGAATAGTTACTGGAAGGTTCTTGTGAAAATCTTCTCAAGGACTGTTACAACAGTATAGTTACTTGAAGGTTCTTGTGAAAATCTTCTGAAGAACAGTTACTGTTACAACAGTATAATTACTTGAAGGTTCTTGTGAAAATCTTCTTAAGAACTGTTACAACACCATAGTTACTGGAAGGTTCTTGTGAAAATCTTCTTAAGAACTATTACAACAGTATAGTTACTTGAAGGTTCTTGTGAAAATCTTCTTAAAAACTGTTACAACAGTATAGTTACTTGAAGGTTCTTGTGAAAATCTTCTGAAGAACTGTTACAACAGTATAGTTACTTGAAGGTTCTTGTGAAAATCTTAAGAACTGTTACAACAGTATAATTACTTGAAGGTTTTTGTGAAAATCTTCTTAAGAACTGTTACAACAGAATAGTTACTTGAAAGGTCTTGTGAAAATCTTCTTAAGAACTGTTACAACAGTATCTCTGTGAAAATCTTCTTAAGAACTGTTAGGATAGTATAGTTACTTGAAGGTTCTTGTGAAAATCTTCTTAAGAACTGTTACAACAGTATAGTTACCATGGTTACTGAAGGGTTCTTGTAATGTATTGATTGACTGCAATGTTCTTGAAAATTGAGAGACTATGACTGCCAAGTGATCTATACATACTCCAGTGAGCCTCTAGTTTTTTATTCATACAAATGTTGTTGAATGAAATAAATTAGATATTAAATCAATGAAAATTTTTGTATTAAGTTGTTAGGAAAAAATTTTACTTATCTAAAAACATATCACAATAATTCTAAACTATATTTTTATTGGTATAATTTTTGTCTGATCTGGCTGCACATGTTCACAGTAGTATTAGATCTAGATCTTTTCATCTTAAAACATTGTCCTACTTTCTCACTTATTGGGTTAATGTGTATTCCGTCTGATTTATTTTATTAATATTTTGTGCTTGACAATTATAGGACAAATTATTTTTACTTCCATTATACTTACAGCATGTGTACAGCAGTCTGATAAATGGTTTTTAAACAACATTTTTGTCTCATATAATTTGTTAGGTATTTAGTAATGCTTTATTATTCCTTCCCTGCAAATATCTGAAGATAAGGTTAATTTATTTATTCAATATTATGTAAATATTTACTTTTACACAATTTATAGCAATTACCTGCATTCTTATAAAGAATAGACTGTAATAAAAGTGCAACTATTGTAATCTGTGTCACTCTAACCAACTTATTTCTCTGTCAGGATTTTTACCTTGCTACTGGGTCACTGTGTCTATCAACTCTGACAGCTTGGACATCTGAACAAAGACCAACTGATCTTTTTTGACCTCAGTTAACTTTGTACAAACAAAATGTTTTAGAATTTCTCACTTCTGCAATTTAAAATACAATTTGTAATTGAATGGGAAATACTGGTGTCCAGTGGAAAATCAAGAATGTAAAAAAGGGTGTGAGATTGTAAAACAGGTAGACTATGGGGCCTGGCAGTCTAAAATGCTTTAAAAACAAAAAATCCCTCCCTCTATTGTGTCTCATTTTTAATGAGGAAGATGCTCTCTATATGTTGGCAGGGTTATGAAATTTCTTCAAATGAAATAATTTGACTAGATTTTCAGCATAAATGTCATGCTGAGCTATTTAAATTGAAATTAGTTATCTTAGATTAAGAGTTCTTTTATCTTACAAGTAGTAGAAGAAGAATTTGCTTCTCATGATTTCTAGCTAAATAATTAATTTGTACTGTTATGAGTGGTAACACCTTACTAACTGCTAAATATGTATTAGGTAATGGTGTTCTACGGTCGTGCAGTAAAAGTCTATGCTATTTACAGCACAATGCCCTAGACAATGTATTCAATATGTTGGATAATAGCAGGTAGGGTGAGAATTTTCATACATGCACCCACTCATTTGGCAAATCATGCTTTTAAAAAAAAAAATTATTTAAAAAAATAATGTTCTTCACGACATTCATGACGCTACTATTCTCTAGACAAATTATATTTTTAACAAGACTTTTTAACATGAAATTCAAATTAACCAACATATCTATGTAGCAGACACTTTCAACTCTGTGGTCTTCACACTTTGATGACATGTGTTACTATGTGGTTAACAAGTAATAAAACATTGTTGTAACTTATCAGCAATTAAATAGTTAACAGTTCCATTCTTCTCATGGTTATTTATACATTTATGGGCATGTAGTGCAGAAAATGATTAATTTATGTGTCTGAAACTATATTTAGGTTTTGTCAGGACTTTGCTGTAAAGACAAGTGAACAAAATTTTTGAAATATATTTATAGACATGTTAGAACGCGAAAAAAATACCCCATGAATTGTAAAAACATTTTAAACCTTTGTTTTTCTCAATTGGCATTACAATTGTCTTAATTCACTGTCATAAATAATGTATCAAGAAAAAAACCAGTAGAGTTAATTTTACAGGATATTTTGTTTTATTGTTTTACCATCGATGAATACTATGACCCCTTCCTTAAACAACTGATTGAAAGTGATATTGAGGAAAATAGTTTACTATAATTAGGGCCCCGCCGAATGGCGGACGCCCTATAGTGATCAGTCTGTCTGTTCGTCTGTCTATCTGTCCGTCCGTCCGTAACAAATTGTGTCCCCTCTATATCTAGAGAATTGTTATGATTTCAAAGTTTATACTTGACATGTATATTAACCAACACCAGAGGGTGTGTCATAATGTATGTACAACTTCCTAGGTCAAAGGTCAAGGTCAAAAACTTTGGTTTTAGTTGACAACCCCATGTCCTATGGTAAAGATCGTGTCCGCTCTATATCTTGAGAACCGTTATGATTTCAAAGTTTATACTTGATATGTATATAAACCAACACCAGAGGGTGTGTCATAATTTATGTACAACCTCCTAGGTCAAAGGTCAAGGTCAAAAACTTTGGTTTCAGTTGACAACCCCATGTCCAATGATAAAGATACAAATTTTTTACCACACATTATTCACAGCGGGGCCCACAGAGATGGCTCCCATCTCAATGATATCTAGTTTTATCTCCTACTGAGCTGCATTATAATGCTAGTCAATACAGGTAGCTGTTACACCAGTAATGTATCAAAGTGATGTTGTAAAATACCTGTAACATACATTAGTAAATACAGCATATACTAGTAATAAACAATACACAATAAATCATCCATGTCATTTGGTCTCTGGTGGATAGTTGTCTCCTTGGCAATCATACCACATCTTCTTTATTTTATGTAACAGAAAAAAAATGATAATTATTTTGTTTATCTTTTTTAGATGCAGAGTTTGTTTTACCAGAATTATAAAGAAGAGAAAGGATCGTTTAAAACAACACTCAAAGACAAATCAGTGAGAAAGGCATTAACTCTTCACTCTATAAAGGATCCACAACAGCAGTACAGAATACAGAATTATCTTCATTCCTCTCATATACAAGATCTACACCAGAAAGAACTTTATTTACAAAGGGAGATAACTCAAATTGAACAAAATTTAGGCATTTTGAAACCAACAGATAGCATCACAAGACAAGGGATGATGCCTTCATTGACTAAATATAAACCAAAAGTAAGAGATGAAGTATTGACATGGGACTTCCTGTCTAAATCTATTATGTCTCATAGAAATTTAAATCCTAAACGTGGTATAAATAAACCTTTAAAACATGCTTTAGAAGACAATATCAATCAAGTTTTACAAATCATGAATAAAAATGCACGACAGAAAGGGAGGACAATAGATTATAAAGATTTGTGGTACGGATATCGTAGAGTTAGTCCCCTTTATGGTGCTGACTATATACTAGATCTGTTGCTTACGTACAGAAAGCATAAAGGGAGAAAAATGACAGTCCCTGTAAGAAGACATGCTTATCTTCATCAGACATTTGGGGAGGTAGAATTCATTGAGGATCCTGCCACTGCTTCCTCAAACATTGAATACAAAGCATCAAATTCGCCGTTTACATTTAGCAGTTTAGGTCAAGGTGGGAAATCATCGGAAATCATTCATTTCATTTTGCCGCTGGCTGGCAAAGTACCTGTATTTAAAAGATTTATGCAAAACTATGAGGAAGTATGTCTCAAAACCAAAGAAGCAACACAGCTTCACATTGTTGTGTTCAATAGTGAGTCCGATTCATCATCAATTAAATCACTGATCAGTATTGTTGGTCAATATCAAAAAAGGTACGGTGGTTCAGACATTGAAGTCATTTATGCAGATGGTCCATTTGCCAGGGCGAGGGCTTTGGATCTTGGAATGTCTCAGTTAAATGAGGATTCTCTACTTTTCTTTATAGATGTAGACATTCTATTTGATAGAGATGCATTGTTAAGAATACGTTATAATACAATTAAAGATATTCAAGTGTATTATCCTATAGTCTTTAGTCAGTATGATCCATCATTAATTTGTTCGAATTCAGACTCATGTGACATTAAATGGACCAATTTCACATCAGATCTTGGATATTGGAGAAGCTTCGGTTATGGCATTGTTAGTACCTACAAACGAGATCTTATATCTGTTGGTGGGTTAGACACTTCCATCAAGGGATGGGGGAAAGAAGATGTTGACCTTTATACAAAGTTTGTTGAAAGTAATTTAACGTTATATCGTAGCATAGATCCCCGGTTAGTCCATGCATTCCATCAAGTCATCTGCGATGCTAAACTGAATGATGTACAGTATCAGATGTGTATAGGATCGAAAGCATCTAGTTTTGGATCGCAATGGCAGCTTTCTAATATTGTATTTAGTATACCAGATATTTTAGACAAGAAAGATGGAAGGAGATAATATTGAGTTGTTTTATTTAGAAATTTATTATTATTTTTTTTGAAGATTTTTAGCAATTTATATATTTCATTGTCTTTTTTTCACACATACATTCATTTAATATATTTTGTTATGTAGAAAAAACATATTTGTGAAAATGTGGTGATGCATACAGGCTTATGTAATTTTGAATAAATAATTTCAGATGACTGCAATATTGTACTATCCAGCATTATCAGTATTTTATCCATCAAAATGTGTATGAAGATGTGTGAAGTCAGTATTTTTGTAAATACATTTTTTTTGTCATGGTTGATATTTTTATATCATAGCCAAATGTGTTGTATTATCGTTAATATGCACAAAGCTGCCAAATTATTTTTATTGTATTTATTTGATTGTAAAATTTTTTATAGTTGTACATGAAAGTATGTGAGGGCTTTAAAAATCATGCCTGGTGCTGACACTAAAATTTAAAGAAAATATGTACCTTTACAGTTACAATTTACCACATCTGGGCAAATTATTCATGACTTTGTAAATTGTAAGGAACTTGCTGTGGATTCTTTTATTTTTTTGTGGGTTTCCAATCTTCCTGGATTAAAGAAAAAGTGTATTTTCATGGATACTTGATTGTCTTGTTTTACATGTTTTAAGAATTTCTACATGCAAGTCTATGGAAAATTTGCATATAAGTTGTGGTTAACTTTTACGTACAATCTTGACAATCCATGAATAATGATGAACCAACAGCCTCTTGTAACATCCTCCTTATGGTACATCTGTCATGAGTAAAAATGTTTGTGTTTTGATCTTATCTGCAATCCATCTCAAGTGTTACTTTAGAAGGTAAAAATTTTAATCTTTCATCTATAAGGCAAAGGGACATTACCATTGAGATGATTGACCTGTTTTCCTTATGCTGGATGGAGTTCAGTCAATTTTTATCTAATATGAAAACTCTATCATGTCTATGTACAATATTGTTAATACACCAAGTATTTGATTTTGATCATATTTGATTCCTTTGTCATAATATTTTGGGTGTTAATCTCATTACTGTTTGATTGGCTGCATTATAGTTGTGTTTTTATTATGCCTCCGCCGTAGCGGAGGGGGCATTAAGTTTTACCCTTGTCGGTCTGTACATCTGTACGTACATACGTCCTGTAGTTGGTTTCCGTTCTCTAACTTTAATTTGCCTCAACCAAATGTTATGAAACTTATACACAATGCTTATTACCACATAACAAATCAAGTTTGAATTTTGGTGGTGTCACTTCAACGGTTCTAGAGTCATGCCCCTTTACAAATGGAAAAATTTTGCAATTTTTCATTTCCATTCTCTAACTTTAGTATGCCTCAACCAAATGTTATGAAACTTATACACAATGCTTATTACCACAAAATACAGATCAAGTTTGAATTTTGGTGGCGTCACTTTAATGGTTCTAGAGTTATGCCCCTTTACAAATGGAAAAATTGCTGAATTTTTCATTTCCGTTCTCTAACTTTAGTTTGCCTCAACCAAATGCTATGAAACTTATACACAATGTTTATTACCACAAAATACAGATCAAGATTGAATTTTGGTGGTGTCACTTTAACAGTTCTAGAGTTATTATAAATATATTTCACACCTTTGGTTTTTGTTTAGCATTGTTTGGCCCAAGGTACACCTAAATTTGTATGTATATGTCTGCAAGTGAAGTTCTGTAGGATCTATGTAGAATCTCTGTCTGTTGATGGTTTGGTAGATTTCACAGAACTGGGGTAGTTCACTATATGATATTGTGCATCATGGGAAATCAATCGTGTTAAATTTAGACTAAATTTTATTAAGTTTTCTATCTTTTGACTTGGAAGACATGTAGTATCAGTATAAATTTGAGATAATTGTTCATATTTGAAATGTACACTGCTTGGCTTTATGAAAATCAGAGATGAATAAAGATAGCTAGTACTGTTTTCAGATAAATTGAAAAATATTGAATAAGTTAAAAATGTACCTGCATGCTGGCATCAGTTTGATAGGTTGGAATACATACCACTTTAAACAGTATACATTAATTTGCAACCATATTCTCACTAAACTAAGACTGGCACAACTGGGTTTAAAACTAGTTTTATTTTACACCAAAAATGAGTTGTATAGCATCAGCCATGTCAGTGATATGTTTTGAATAAATTCCATAGTCATGTTATCCAACAAAATTTTGAATTGTATTTGAGAGATTTTCACAATGATCCAAACTAAAATTTACTTTATAATATTGTGTGTGTCTGTTGGAATACTTGTAAATTTGTAAATACGATTGTTTTCATGTGTATGTGAGTGTGTATTTTAGTCATTGTTGTACATTTGTGTAATAAATAGTATTGTATTGCATAAAGTTTTTAATTTGTAGACCAATTATGGTTGTATAAATTTGTAATATGGCCTTTACACAAAGTATATTTTTAATAGCATTTAATATGAGTATTAATTTTCCTAATTGTTACATGTACATGCTAGTGTTACTCTTCAAACTTATTTATAAAGTCGGAACTGTTGAAATCATACCGAATAAGCTTGAACTATTTGCCATTGAACATTAGGCAATCAATTTTAATCAAAGAAATCTTAGAATTAAAATAAAGTATGTAGTCTGAAAACATAGGTTGAAATTTTAGATACATTGACTGTACTTTGTTATGCAGTTTTTACTTTGTCAGTAAATATACATGTGCCTTTACTTCAGTCATATTTAAATGAAATACAGTCACATAGTTTTTATAGTCTTTTTTTTCATGAAATCTTTTAATTTCGTTGTTTGTAATCAAGAGATGTGTGATAGACTTTTTAATCAAAAGCTTCCAATTTAATCAAATGGATTTGTATGTATTGCTAGCTTGACTGACAAAAAATTGGTATCAGGTTTATAAAATGAATTTATATACATGTACCATGTATGAATTTGTATTTTACACTGCAGAATAAATTATCTGTTTCTCAATTTCTTTTTTTTTTATATAGATATTTGACTGATGTCTTCCTGGATATAACTTTACTCTAGTGATCAGATGTCTCAACTGTTTTAGTTTTTCTTCGAATTTATACTTTTAAACACCATATAAGGTATATTGGAACATGAAATTTTTTTTTTAAGAAGTTATTTTTCATCTCACAAACAGCTTTACTTTCAATTATAGCTTGGCATAGTGTAAAGATATTTGTCTATTGTTGCTGACTATGTTGGCCTAGATTTTTTTTTATTCTTTATGTTGTTAGGTTGCTGTCTCATTGACATTTCTACCATTTCGTTTTATTCGTTTCTTACACAACACTTTAATGATATAGTTAAAAAAAAAAATCTGTTTGTTAATTCTTAGTTTGGTTGATAGAAGGAGATTGCATAGATGTACACGATATAGAGACAGTTTTTGAAGTTGTGTGCAATGTTTATATTATTTTATAGATTTTATATTCAAATAACCCACCAAAGTTATTTTTTAGATGATAACCCTTTAGACCATCACTGTGATAGATGAACTGCATGAATCTTATTTAATAGTATACATGAACATACAAGTTTATAGATGTCTTTTGTCATCTTAATTTTTATGCCCCACCTACGATAGTTTGTCTGTTTGTTCGTCCGTCTGTCCCGCTTCAGGTTAAAGTTTTTGGTCAAGGTAATTTTTGATGAAGTTGAAGTCCAATCAACTTGAAACTTAGAACACGTGTTCCCTATGATATGATCTTTCTAATTTTAATGCCAAATTAGAGTTTTGACCCCAAATTCACGGTCCACTGAACATAGAAAATGATAGTGCGAGTGGGGCATCTGTGTACTATGGACACATTCTTGTTTTATCTAATGTAAAATTACACTTTCCATCATTCATCAATCTTCATGAACTTGTACATACAAAAACATGTACATGTATGATTACCAGAACCTTATAGACATTGCATTAGGAAGAGGGCACAAACCTTTTTTTTATGTTTTCCTCCTTTTTTTTGTCTTCTCATTCTCAATAAAGTAAAAATTCGAAATTGCAATATTGAAATCAATTTACTGCTATAATCGTTCAAATGCATTTCTGTTTTCTGAAAGAATTGCTTAGCATTTTTCATGCTCCCCAAAAAATTGTAAATTTCTATGACTTACAGGTCAGATTTAATTTTCACTATTCAATAAAGAGTTATGCCCCCAAAAGCAGTTCAAGTTACCTTCTGACATTTAAAAAAAAAAAATATAAAATGATGATGTTTTCAATGTTACCCCTAGTCCAAATTATATATGCAAGTACCATGTGATTATTTGATAATGCTATTATTCACGTTAAAATAAAAAAGATGTGATTGCTGTTGTCAGAAGTCTATTATTTTATAAGTGCCTTGAAGACATGGATTTCTGCTTTAAGGAATCAATACTATAACTAAAAGATCACTTTAAATATTGGATTAAACTTAGCCATTTGTTTGGAAATCTTTTGGATACAGCATAAATAATTAATTTTGGTACTGTATCAGGATATGTATCCATACATGTCAAATCTCAAGATATCAGTGGGAACCGTTTAACCCAATCTTCTGACAGGGTTGTGTCATCTTATAAAAATAAAAAAATATTGTAACAACATTGTTTCACCAATATAGAGTGCCTTAAGTAGCTGACATGTTGTTTTAGCAAAAAGCAATTAATTTGTAATTTGATCCATTTGAATGTGGATTGTAAAAAAAAAAAAAAACTACCTAAACCAATAAAAACTGGCTTGCGAAATAGCCAACAGTGCTGAAAGTGGCATTAAACACCAATCAAATTAATCAATCAATATTAAACCTTTAAATATGGAGGGACTCTCCTAATTTGGAAGTTAGAAAATTTGACACTGTGTGCATCTGATTTTAGTTTTATTTAAGTGATGTCCATAATATTTAATATTAATATTTAGTATTGCCATAATATTATTCAATATGGAACTGATGCATAAATAAATTATGCATATGTTTAACTAACAAAGATTGTTGATTAAACCATAAATTTATGCCAACGTTAAAAACGTTAATAATGTAATACAAATAGACAGGAAATACGAAAAAAAGATTTGAAAAACATTGATTAACAAAATTCTAATCTGCTAACCGAGTCCCTGTGGATTAAACCAGTGCAATGATGTTACATGTAACTTATAGTTTAGCTAGTGTGAATCTCACTAATTGTTGGCATTATAAGTAATGTGATGTCCTTGGAATAATATTTTATTTACAAAATTGTATTGTAAGTTTGACGGCAAACACATATTGCTGTATTTTTTTATACACCATATGCTATTTATTGCTTACAATCATACATATGATTCTTCATGTCAAATTGTCTTTATCACACCTCAGAATTATTCATCGTTAGTTACTATTTTTTATTAAATAATCCTTTTGCTTCAACAGTGATTAAAATTCATGGTCATCGTATATTGATTGTTTCATTACTAATAAAAATCCTGGTACATCTAGACATTAGGAGAAAATTTACCACAATTTGTTTTTATTTGAAAATTACTTTCAATATATGTGAAACAAGATCAATCAAACTTATAATTCATTTATTGTATACTTACAAAATGTCTTGTTAATTTACTGTGCATAATGTTAACAATGTTTCAGCAGTGTGAGATAAATGTTTGTGATATTCTGCTGAATAAAGGATTTATTTTAGAAATTCATGTTAGTTTTATTTTGTATATAAAAATAAGAAGATGTGGTATGATTTTAAATGACACAACTCTCAACTTGAGAAAAAATGACGTTGAAGGTTAGCAACTATAGGTCACATTTCTGCTTTCAACAATGAGCAAAACCCATACCGTATAGCAAGCTATAAAAGGCCCAAAATTGACAAATGTAAAACTATTCAAAAGAGAAAACTAAAAGCCTGATTTATGTAAAAAACAAATAACATATATGATAAAGAGCAACAAATGAAAACCACTGATTTACAGGCTCCTGACTTGGGACAAGCATATACAGAATGTGGCGGGCTTAAACATGTTAGCGTGCCAACCCTCCCCTGGCACATCATATTTCCATTGATATTATTGTTTTGCCTTGACGGAGTAAAAAAGCGAGACATAGGAATGCTGTTTCTGGTGGCAGCTGCATCAACAATGTATAAGTTTGTGATTAGGTTAGATTATGGGGAACCACTAGTGATAGGTCAATGATATTTGGTATGCAGTTGTATTAGCATTGGCACATCTCATTTCCATGGAGATTATTTGGCCCCGCCCCCTCAGTCATGGTCTATTGACTTTGAAACTTTTACTTAGTTAACATGTATAAGTTTGTGATTAGGTCAGTTTATGGGGAACCACTAGTGATAAGTCAATGATATTTGGTATGAAGTTGTACAACATTGGCACATCTCAATAACATGGCGATTGTTTGGCCCTGTACCTTCAATAACGGTTCAATGACTTTGAATATTTTGCATAACTTACATGTTAAAGTATTGCTATTTTAATTTCAACATTTGCATTTTACATTGAAAAAAAACCAAAAAGGTGAGACATATCTCTGTGTTAACAGTTTATTTGAAGTGAATTTAAAACTTCTGCCTTGTTTACATGTTAGTTTGTGATTAGGTCAGTTAGGATTACTAGTGGCCATAATCAATTAATAGCGATAGAAAATGTTTTATTTGAGATGGATGTGTTCATTGTAACTGTAAGTTCAAACTACAGACTGATAAATAATTATACTTCATTAGTCCAAATATATTGCCTTTACAATTTTTTATGCCCCCGCCGTAGCGGAGGGGGCATTAATTTTTACCCTTGTCCGTCTGTACGTCCGTCCGTCCGTACGTCCCAATGTTGGTTTCCGTTCTCTAACTTTAGATTGCCTCAACCAAATGTTACAATGCTTATTACAGATCAAGTTTGAATTTTGGTGGCGTCACTTTAATCGTTAGAGAGTTATGCCCCTTTACAAATGGAAAAAATGTGGATAGTGTCCACATTTGGACACAGATGATGCCCCCACTTGCATATCATATAGTTATAAAGGGACATTACTGAAGAACGGTAAAAGTGACGATACCCAAATTTGAACTTGATCTGAGTTTTGTGGTAATAAGCATTGTGTGTAAGTCTCATAACATTTAGTTGAGGCTAACTTAAGTAGAAAACAGAAACTAAAAATTCAGCAATTTTTATAAGACTGCATTTTTTGCGGTCGTATATTGGTATGACGTCGTCGTCGTCGTCCGAAGACACATTGGTTTTTGCACTAAAACTTTAGTTTAAGTGAATGGATCTCTATGAAATTTTACCATAAGGTTAAATACCACTAAAGGAAGGTTGGGATTGATTTTGGGGGTTATGGTACCAACAGTTAAGGAAAAAGGGGCCAAAAATAAGCATTTTCTAGTTTCCAGACAATAACTTGTGGAACGGTGTATGGATCTGTCTGAAATTATACCACAAGTTTCCATACCACAAAGGGATGGTTAGGATTTGCTTTGGGGAGTTATGGCTCAAACTGTTTAGGAATTAGGGGAAAAAAGGGGGAAAAACAAGGTTGTTCTGGTCAATGGACAAATACTTTAGTACAAAACATAATTTAAAGCAGTGTAAGGGAGATATATTAAATACATCATTTGAAATGCCTCCCTTACACTGCTTTTAAATTATGTATAAAGTAATGGTTAATGAACAATTAAGACAATTTAAAACAGTGTAAGGGAGGTAATCCAAATACAACGTTTTAATTACTTCCCTTACACTGCTTTTAAATTATGTTTAAAGACCAGTAAAAATATCTGCAAATGTTGCATCTTTTTTTTTTTACAAAAAAATCCATATGAAAGATTTGACACCATATTTTAAATTCTATTATTTCAGAAATTAAAAAGAATTATTCTTCAAATATTATTTTTTTTTTAAATTTCAAATATTGAAAAATTTCAAGAAGTAATCTTTAATTGCACAATATGGTGCATTAGATTTGTAAAATCTTTTACCACATTAATTTATTTGTTATGCCGAATCTGACCGTGTATTTAGATTTTTAATTTTGGGTCCAGTTTTCAAATTGGTCTACATTAAGGTCCAAAGGGTCCAAAATTAAACTTAGTTTGATTTTAACAAAAATTGAATATATGGGGTTCTTTGATATGCTGAATCTAAACATGTATTTAGATTTTTGATTTTGGGCCCAGTTTTCAAGTTGGTCCAAATTGGGGTCCAAAATTAAACTTTGTTTGATTTCAACAAAAATTGAATATATGGGGTTCTTTGATATGCTGAATCTAACCATGTATTTAGATTTTTTATTTGTGGGCCCCACTATCAAATTGGCTCATATTGAGGTCAAAAGGGTCCAAAATTAAACTTTGTTTCATCAAAAATTGAATTATTGGGGTTCTTTGATATGCCAAATCTAACTGTGTATTTAGATTTTTAATTTTGGGTCCCGTTTTTTAAATTGGTCTACATTAAGGTCCAAAGGGTCCAAAATTAAACTTAGTTTGATTTTAACAAAAATTGAATTTTTGGGGTTCTTTGATATGCTGAATCTAAACATGTGTTTAGATTTTTGATTATGGGACCAGTTTTCAAGTTGGTACAAGTTGGAGTCCAAAATTAAACTTTGTTTGATTTCAACAAAAATTGATATGCTGAATCTAACCATGTATTTTGATTTTTGGGCCCTGTTATCAAATTGGTCCACATTGAGGTCAAAAGGGTCCAAAATTAAACTTTGTTTGATTTCATCAAAAATTGAATTCTTTGGATTCTTTGATATGCTGAAGCTAACCATGTATTTAGATTTTGGATATTGTTCCATAATAGGTAAATAAAATTTTTTTAAGTTCTTAGACCATATTAATTCGGTGTCAGAAACCTATGCTGTGTCAAATATTTAATCACAATCCAAATTCAGAGCTGTATCAAGCTTGAAGGTTGTGTCCATACTTGCCCCAACTGTTCAGGGTTCGACCTCTGCAGTCGTATCAAGCTGCGCCCAGCGGAGCATTTTATTCAATTTGTAAACACGCATAACTCTAGAACGGTTGTGTCTAAGTTTTAAAACATTTGGTTGAGACAAACTAAAGTTAGAGAACGGAAACAAAAAATTCAGCAATTTTTATGTTTATAAAGGGACATAACTCAAGAATGGTAAAAGTGTCGCCACCAAATTTCGTACTTAATCTGTATTATGTAGTAATAAACATTGTGTATAAGTTTCATAACATTTGGTTGAGGCAAACTAAAGTTAGAAAACAAAAACAAAAAATTTGTACTTGATCTTAGTTTTGTGGTAATGAATATTGTGTATAGTTTCATAATGTTTGGTTGGGGCAAACTTAAGTTACAGAATGGAAACTAAAAATTTTGCAATCTTTCGATTTATAAAGGCGCATTACTCAATAATGGTTAAAGTGACACTACCCAAATTCAACTTGATCTGTGTTTTATCAGTGGAAGTCAAAATTAAACATTGCATTGTATAAAGCATTGATTGTAGTTGATTCAACTATAATCATGGACAAAGGAAGATAAATCTAATTTTAAAAATTACTTGATATTTAGAAGAATTTTTTTCATTTATAAAGGGGCATAACTCTAATATGGTTAAAGTGACGCCACCAAAATTCAAACTTGATCTGTGTTTTGTGGTTATAAGCATTGTGTATAAATTTCATAACATTTGGTTGAGGCAAACTTAAGTTAGAAAACGGAAACTAAAAATTTTGCAATTTTTCCATTTATAAAGGGGCATAACTCTAGAACGGTTAAAGTGACGTCACCAAAATTCAAACTTGATCTGTGTTTTGTGGTAATGAGCATGGTGTATAAGTTTCATAAAATTTGGTTGAGGCAAACTCAAGTTAGAGAACGGAAACCAATTTTGGGACGTACGTATGTACGTTCGTTCGTACGTACGTACGTACAGACGGACAAGGGTAAAACTTAATGCCCTAAATTGCTTAATTTTTCGTTTCTGTTCTCTTACTTAAGTTTGCCTCGACCAAATACCATGAAACTTATACAAAATGCTTATTACCACAAAATACAGATCAAGTTTGAATTTTGTGGGTGTCACTTTTATTGTTCTAGAGTTATGCCCCTTTACAAATAGAAAAAATTGCTGAATTTTTTGTTTCCGTTCTCTAACTTAAATTAGCCTCAACCAAATGCTATGAAACTTATACACAATGCTTATTACCACAAAATACAGATCAAGTTTGAATTTTGGTGGTGTCACTTTAACCGCTCTAGAGTTATGCCCCTGTACAATGGAAAAATTGCTGAATTTTTCGTTTCCGTTCTCTAACTTAAGTTTGCCTCAACCAAATGCTATGAAACTTTTACACAACGCTTATTACCACAAAATACAGATCAAGTCGGAATTTTGGTGATGTCGCTTTAACCGTTCTAGAGTTATGTCCCTTTACAACTGGAAAAATTGCTGAATTTTTTGTTTCCGTTCCCTTACTTAAGTTAGCCTCAACCAAATGTTATGAAACTTATACACAATGCTTATTACTACAAAATACAGATCAAGTTTGTTTTTTTGGGGTGTTACTCTTATTGTTCTAGAGTTATGCCCCTTTACAAATGGAAAAATTGCTGAATTTTTCGTTTCCGTTCTCTAACTTACGTTTGCCTCAACCAAATGTTATGAAACTTATACACAATTGTTATTATCACAAAA